TTCTTATTTTACGCTTTTAGTATTACTCGTTGCAAAACTCACGACTTGATCTCATCACGGAGCGTGAAGAACTGGAAGCTGCTAGACGTCAGTTTGAAGCTGAAATGAAGCAGGCAGAGACAGCGGCACAGAAGAAAGTTGACAAAATAAATGTGAAGCTGAGCGATTCTGAAAGGGAGAGGAAAGTGCTGAAAAGGGAAAATGAAGAGGTAGGTTGAACCTGATCTGTCTCCTTATTGGGATTAGCACTAGATTTGTAGCCAAACTGTTGATTTTAGTTAAGAAAGCGTATTGAAGAGCTGGAAATCAGATTAGCAGCAGCCGAAGAGATTCCAACCAGCTTAGATGCGCTAAAAGGCGATGATAGCGATTGGACGATCAGATCGGAGCATGATGTGTAAGTCTGGTCCCAGTCGAAGTTTTTGTTCGTAATTACAAAAATTTTTCAGGATTATCGGTGATTTACAAGAGCGTTTGTACACTATTCAAAGAGAAAATGAAGGGCTTAATAAGAAAATTGAAGAGCTGAAGAAAGTGATAGAGGAGAAAGACGCTATCATCAACCAAACAACTCAGAGCAAGGTGAGCTTTATTTATTTTTGTCAAAATAAAAATTTTGCTAATATGTTTAGGATGGACATACTTTTGTTATTGGTGGTGGGCACGATGCGGAAAGTCTTCTGCAGCGCATCGATGATTTGGAAGTTAGATTACGTGAAGAACAAGACGAACGAGCCAAAGCAAACACAGCTCTTGCCGTGAGTCTCATGAGTTCGTAATGTTTTCTGCATTCTGAATCTGTTCGAAGCGAAGATCTTTTTCAGGCGTACATGTCTCGCTATCACAAGTTAGAGAAGAAGTTACACGAAGCTAACGTATCTATTGATAAGTCCTTGAAAGCAAGTAATAAAGAAGAAGTGAAAGCAACGGTAAGTATTTATTATCCAGTCATCAATTGCTCGCCTTCTGAACTGCGTGTAGCTTTCGGATCCTTCTCGCCATGAGGGATCCACATCTGGGCTTTTCAGCGCATGGATATAGCGAAAATGAGCTTTTTCCGAGCATTTTCAAGTCCGCGTCCAGTAGTAGATATACGCCGGTGGTCTTTCGCGCTCCGCCTCCCCTGTTCCGGACCTCGCCCACTTATACGTATTTTCCACTAAATGCGGACTTGGAATGCTTTGAAAAAGCTCATTTTCGCCATTCTCATGCGCTGAAAAGCCCAGATA